GGGAAAGAGCAAAGGAAATTAGCAGTGATCCTCAGGGTGTGTCCTGTCTGAAACCCTGCCTGCCCAGGCTGCAAACGTTATATACCTCCTTATCTACTCTGTATTATCAGCTCTTCATTAAGCGTCTGTCCCAGTTTTCAAGTGTGTCGAATCCTTTTTGCATTTTCATGCTTGTATTCTGTGGATCACCTGTTTGAAACAAAAATTTAAAAATCCAAGCTATCAGCCAGTAGCAGTGTTAGTTAAGGCAGTGTTTACTCGGACAGTATTCCTTGACCTCTGATTTTATGTGAGTTATCTGAGGATTTATTTTCAGAGAACAGTAATTCTAAAGGGATTTTGATTGTAGGTGTGAAAATACAGTTGTTTAAAGCTGAAAAATAGCAGGATGCACAACAAAGTATAAGAGCTAAACCACACAAATATACAAGACAGCTGATGGTCTGATTCTTACATCAAGGGTCAGGGGTGGGGTTCTTTGGGGTTCTTAACATCACCAGGTCCAGTGAAAACCTTGTGTAGCATTGAAGAGGTTCATCTCTGACTTCTGGGCTGAATCTGTCTTCTGTAGAAGGCACCTCTACTAACGGATTGCTAAAATAGCTGCTGTGTACAGCGCTCAGGTTTCAGTTTTATCTTCCTTTAGATATAAGATTAAGATTTTCTTGGATGTTTTTGCTGGGAATCTGAGGCAGAGCTCAAGTACTTTGTGTAGGATAAAGCAGTGTTAGTGCTTTTGCTGGCAGCGTGTGTGGTAGCTCACATACATTGCATTAGTATTGCAGCTGTTACTTCTAACAGATAAACTTACATTCTTTCTTCCTAGGATTGTATGTCAAGTTGGACCAATGAATGAACCAAAACAAGGTCAAATTGAAGTTAACATCAATGGAAAATTAGGTAAATCACCAAGTAAAGTGCAGTTTACATACCAGGTAAGTGCACTTTTTTTCAGTGACCTGTTTTATACCTTGTGCATTACTTAAGTTTGCAGTTTACCTGTTCAGCACAGAGTCACTTGTGTTTGCCTTACAATCTTTGTTTCATCAATAGCACTATCGTTCAAGTATGTTAGAAAACACTTAACTTGAGCATACAAAAAGTGTACCAAAAACCTGTTTTCATCAATAGATCCAGAGACTCAAAATAGGATGATGTTGTTTGCATTTCAAATTTCAAAAATGTGGTAGAAAAGAAACTGTAATAAACTTACTCAGTAGTGACACAACATCTCTTAAGTGTCACTACTGAATAAAAAAAAAATAAGCACTGCAAAAAATTAGGTATTCTTTAGATGCACAGTTAGTTCACTATTTTAATCACTATGTTTAATCTAGCCAATGTTCTTAATTATGAGAAAGGATGCAAAGCAGCTGAAGAATACGTCATGAAGGTACATTAATTTTTTAATAATTTATTTCATTCAAAAATATGGCATGCAGAGCCACAGACAGCATGACGTGTGTTCATATTACACATGTGCTTTGTTTCCAGTGTCACTGTGAAGGAGAATTTCATTTGTGTCTGAATTGCTTTAACCTAAATGTGGCCCTAGGTTATAGCTGCTTTAGCCTGTGGTTTTAGCAGCAAGTAGCTTTATCTGTATCTATGAAGTCTTCAAAATTTATAAGGGCCTGCGATAGCTGAGAGGTTTAAATAATCTCTGTCCTCATATTGATACTTTAAATTATGCTTATAAACTGTAAATCTATAAAACATAAAGGGTGGGTTAGGCTTTTATCTTCTCCCTTATTTAAACTTCTGTCTCATTAATTCTTGATGTCTTGTGAGAAGGAAAGGAAGGGAGTCAGCAGTAAGAAGTGGAATAAGTCAAGAATGATATTCAACTGAGAAGAAGATGGTCTTATTTCCAAAAAACAGGCTAGAAGTGTTTTTTTCCATAATTTCCAAGCAAGTACCTCCTCTCCTTGATGATATCTCTGCAAACACACCCTTTTTGCTTGAAAATGTCCTCTGTTCCTTTGTAGAAATGTAGGTTATAATTAAGTCTGTCTTTGTCAATCTCATTTGTCTTAACCAAAGAAGAACATAATCTCCTGTGTTTATGTGTTTGTGGTCTCTATGGCTATGACAGTAAACCGTACATGAGATGATACTTGACATGAACCCATTGTGCTGGCTACATTTTACACCAGTTCTCCTATGCTTCTCCAGTGTGTAAAGATTCCCCCATGGTTTGCGTGAAAACCACATGAAGGTGTTATGGAGTGTGTTGAATTGTAATCTGAAGCCCCCATGTAGGCTTCAAAGCCTGTCTGTAAACTTGTGCTGGTGCGATTCCCTGTTCAGCACATCTGGGAGGCGAGATAAGCAGCCACCACTTTTGGCTACTTATGGGAAAGATCGCCCATCAGTGAGGCACTAGGAGAAGCTGCAGAGCACAAGCATCACCCAGGTGGAGGTTTTCCTGCAAGTCCAGGACTTCCACTGTGCCAATATCTGCTTGCATTGAGGTTACTGAGATCCCAGATACCTAAGCTAACTGCCGTTAAAAAGCATTTTTATTTACTGCAGAAATCTTTCTATGGGGACTCTATGTACAAAATGCAGAGCAATGGCAAGTAATGCATTTCATGCCTTAAAACTGATGAAACTGGTTTCTAGTTTCATTTCTCTATGTTCCACGAGAAAATGAAGCCAACTGTGGACTGCAGTAGGATTAAAGTTGGTACAGGAGCATTGCATTCACACGCACCTCTACAAGTGTGACACGAGCACTTTTGGCGTGAGAATAGGCAATCAGAGCAGACAATCTCATCAGCTGATGTTGTCTTAAAAGCTACAATCTTGTTTCACTGCTGTTTTCAGGCAGTTCTTTGGTGACTTCTTTCAGCAGACATGTGAAATCTGTGCTTTGTTTAAAAACTGTTCTATTCAGTATATACAAAGGAGAGAAAATTGTCTTCTTTCAAAGAGCCTTCCTAAAGTAAATTTTCTGTTACGTATTTCCCCTTTCTTTGGCACATTGTCTGTCTACCCTCCTGTTGCTAATTATCAGTATTTTTACTGTGTGCTCTGATCACCCGAAGCACAATAGATTCAGCTTTCGCAGTGACCGCTCTAAACATGGTGTGTGGCAGTGCACAAGCCGTGCACAAGGAGACAATGGAGCCGCTCAATCTGATGTGTCTATGGACACTGGAGTTGCGTCCATACTCCCCACAGTTTCAGCCTGATGTGACTAGTGTCTACCACCAAATGCACGTAGTTAGTTTTCAAGTAGAATGGATAGAAAGGAGACATTTTTCACAATGAGAGTGGTGAGACACTGGAACAGGTTGCCCAGAGAAGCTGTGGATGCCCCATCATTCAAAGTGTTGGAGGTCAGATTCGATGAGGCTTTGAGCAACCTGACCTCATGAAAGATCCATTTACCTGCCCATGACAGGGGAGGTGGGCTAAATGATCTTTGAAGGTCCCTTCCAACCCAAACCGTTCTATGATTCTATGATAAGTACTACTACATTTGGCTGTTGTTGATACTCAGCCTGAATGATGAGATGTTTTTAAAGCTGGATTGATGAGGATCAATAGTCAGCACAACTTGGGGTTTAGACTTGTGCTTCTGCCCCATTCTTCCAGTACAGCGCATTTCTGAGCTGAGGAACATGTGAGATCTCCATTAAATGGGTCAAAAAGCCAGTTAAAAGGGAAGCCACAGTTTCAATTTAAAATTATTTCTAAACTAAAATACCCTGGTCCACAAGAATCTGTGCTGTGCAGTAAACACCTTATCAATATTTGCTGCGCAACAGGGGAAGAAAGCTTTTTTTCTCCCTACCCATCACAATTTCTCTACCCAACCTGAGTGCTGGTCAAGTCCAGCCATTCCAGCAAAATTAAATTAACCCAGTCCTCCTCTAGTGACATTGCTGTTGTTTCCTTATAAGCAGGATCAGGTAATAACTAGTCTCCTGTTTCATGAAACAAAAATGAAGTGATGCTAAATTTTAATAACCAGCTATGTGGTACATCTGGAGCACTGAATAACCAAAAAGGGGGATAAATTAGGGTCTGGTCTAAAAACAAACATGAAGGTGACTATTCACCATACTGGAAGCTTGAATGTGAACCTGAACAGCACAGTGTGCACTCTTCCACCTTAATCTACTCACAGCTTGGACAGTTTCCTCTTACCTTCATCCATCGTCTGGTTTCCTTCTTGATGTTCGAAGCAATTGCTCTGGGAGCTCTCACGACCGCAGTGCCGTTAGTGCCACAGGGCTTTTGTGGAAGGTTTTAGCTCACTCCTTGATTTTTCTCTATGAGTTTTTACCTCAACACATGCATTTTACGCTGTAGTTGGGATTTTAGGGTGGGGTTTTTTTGGGGGGGTTGTTACATGCTTGTTGCCATTATGATCTATGCTTATAAACCGCACATCCGCTGCAGTCTGGAATTGCTTCCAGAGAAGGGGTTGTGACTATTCTATTCTTGAGTCCTGGAGCACATCTTGTTTGTGTATCAGCCTGCAGAGGGACCAGGAGAACTCCTGGGTAGCTGAGAGTTTTAGTGAAGCTGGCCCTTCCTCATGTGGATATTATTAGACTTAATTCTTTATCATCTGAGCTATGCACTTAAATACATGGTCCCACCATCCAGTGCTCATGGTTCTGCTTGAAAGCTGCCAGTGAACACTGGCTGTATGATAATGCAGACTTTCCAGTCATGCATACTTCCATTTCTCCATCAAACCTGTCAGCAAGGCTCTGTGGTGTCTGCCTCACGATAAAAAGATGCTGCCTGCAGTCTAAAAAATTAGTTGTTTAAAATACCAACGATTTGCATAAGCATCCCATCCACAGCAGCCAGCACACAACAGACACTCATAGGCAAACGCTCTGCCTGCGCATCTGGAGCGGCTGGAAATGTTTGATCAGCTCACACGGTCTGAGGTTTGGACAAAGTGGCCCCAGAAAGGCAGGACTCGGCTCACTTCTCTGCTATTGCAGAAATAACCCAGGAACTGAAGCCTGGTTTGTGGTGTGGATGCTGTGATGAGGCGAGCTGGTGGGTCAGGTCAGCCACTGAGGAGAACACCAGGCTGCCAAGAGTGCGCAATGGAAATTCTCTGGTTGAATATCCTGTGAGTGGGTGGCTTGTCTGAAGAAACAAGAAGCAGTTTCCCTCGGGGCTGAGAAAGGAGGGAGGTGGAGGGGGAAAGAGCAGTTCCTAATGACTTGTGTGCCCCGTTCAGCAGCTTAATTTAGCTCCTGCAGTTACCTTTATAGTCCACAAAATGACATTTTGACCTCCAAGAAGGTGAACAGTGTCTACAGCACTTCATGGGCTATGCCTTTAATTTTTGTGTGCATTATATGCAAGGATTTGGCTTTCAGTGTGGGGCAGATAAGTTTAGTAACAAGTGAGTTATTTTACAGACCTGCTTCAAGAATAAGAACCTATTGCAGCTGGGACCAGGATTAGGAAAGGGAAAGGTTACCTGTGGAGGAAAGGATGGATGATATAAATGCAGAGGAATAATGTACTCTGTACATTTGTGAAAATCTTATCCACGTGTGTGTGTACTGTCATCAGATCCTTGACACAGCATCCCTGTGCTTTGCTTGTGTGGAAGCACAAGAACCTGTTCCTACTTGTGAAGATGTGCACTTGCATCAAAGGCAAACCCCCAACCGGAGGTCACTGCCTACAGGAGCTGGCAGAAGGAAGCTTAGGTGGCTTTGCCATTTGCTGCCCATCACGTCCATTTGAACATACCCATCTGTTGCTGGCTTCCCCTTGTGCTGCAGCTGGCATCTCTCATGGCATCACGGGGATATACTCTGCCACCGTCCTCTTTTCGCTCCCCAGTTGGCTCTCTGCTTGTGGTCTGGCATGGTTGCGTTTTCTTCAGCACCACCCTCTGAAGCATAGACTTCATGCCAAGGTTTCTTTGCATCTCCGTTAGGCT